TCCCCCTTTTTGGGTTCGTGCGTGTCTCGCTTGCTTCTTAAGAGAATTTTATGGTTGGACGTTGTAGTCCGTGGCAGCCGTCAAAGTCAAACCCCTTGACTTTCTCCCAGGCCCGGGGAGGACKCACCCCTAGGGCCGCGAGAGACGAYTACCACCACAGGCTTTGGACATGTGTACCACCCGCTTTGCACAAGGGTGCAGAAGAGGGKGTGTGGTCTTCAACMGCGCRTGGCGGTTGTCCAGCGTTGAGAGATCAACCCTCAAGGCGAGTGTCAGCCGACACCTRARTGTCGAACGCGACCCTCGAGATTAACGAGGGCCGCGCGAGTGTGGGTACCACATAGTACACCATCATTGCGACTGCTTGCGTACATTTGCACTGCGAGTCGATATGAGTTAGCCCTGCGTCCGCGCGGTTTTATATCAAGGCTCGCGCGCGATGCCCATTCGGGTTCCRCATYGRAAAGTTATGGGTTGGCTACCGAGGGGCTAGGAGCGTTGTCGCGTTGTTTGTGTTGTRTCGTGTTGCATGTGCGTGTGYGAGTGTTTTATTTTTGTGTTCGTATAGTGGTGTGCGTGCGGTGAGTGGGATGCGTCCTAGTCGACCGACGTCGAGCCGCGCTTGGGACTTCAGCCCCCCAAGATGTCGGCTCGCGTGCGGGACCGATAGGCGTATTACCGCGCGTACCCCCTATGCTACAGCGAACAAGAAACACCCTCAGCTGGTCCACCTGTGCGATTGCAACTGATTAGCTTTCGTATTATGGACTGGTAGCTCGACGGGGATACGCCCACCGATGGGAGGTGACAGCTCCCATGAGGTGGAGGTAAGTCGTGCCTCGCGTAGGCCTTATCCTGTCATAGGGGCTCGCGAGAGGTATGGCTGGCGCACTCGGTCGGAGCGGCCTAAGGAAGCTCCATTTACGTGTTCATGACGAAGCTGACCCAACTCCTGCGTGACGCGGCCGAGAGGGTCCCGTGCCGTCGCATGCGGTGCCGGACCGATGCGCTCGACAGGTGGCGCCATTGCCGGGGATAACGGAAGCCTACCGTTGTCCCTGGTGGAACGACATCCGGGTATGGGAGTGAGGGAAAAACTAGGCATATAGGTGAGTAAGGGGAAGACTATGAGATGAACTGTATGGTGATCTATATGACTGTGGGTTAAATGATCGATTGATTGGCGGCTTGACTGACGGCTTGGATAAAGGCGAGTGTGTGAGGAGATCTTATGGCTAAGGGAAAATGAGAAAAGAGGTATCTGTCAGGTCTAGAGCGTCGGATGTTTAAGAAGTCAACCCGATAGGGCCGTGGAGGATCGAGTCGCTGAGTGGGGTCTTTCGTCCTATTGTTTCTTACAATAGGAAGTTTGAAGCCGGAGGCGATTGGTCAAAAAAATGCCAGAGGAGATGGCGGACGGTGGGAGAAGGTTCGTGACGATCGACGATCTCATCGATGCCTTAGACAAGCGCGAGAGGGCGCCAAGCAATATCCCAAAGGTTGAGACATTTCACTTCAAGGGGGATCAGGTATCTGACTGGTTGGATCTGACAGAGCAGGCGTTGGTGGGGCTGTCAGATGAGGTCAAGCTCCAGCGGGTCCTGAGGTACGTCCTGCATAGTCACCATCGGGAAGTAAGTAAGGTCGTGGACGCCGCCGGTGGCAGTTGGACAAAGTTTGGGGACCTAATGCGAAGGAAGTACAGGCTGGGGGATGGCCTGTTGACCATGGCCGACTTGGAGGCCATGAACAAGGAAGACTTTTCTACCATTGGGGCGTTCGTGCACGAGTTTAAGAAAAAGGCGACGAAAGTGCATGGGATTTCTGAGGAGGCGCAATGCGCCACATTTTTGGGGTTGCTTACGGGCTCGGAGGCCACAGAGCTGACCAAGTATGGGGAAGGGAGCGAGAGGCTCACCTGGGCAACCATTGACAAGGGAGTGGAAGAAGGGAGCCTAGACCAGGTGGAGCAGCACCAAATGAGGCTGCAAAGGCGCAAGTGGAAGGAGAGGGATGCTACCGCATCCGGGACCCCAGGGGTGAAGAGAATTGTCACGGACGTGTTGGCGGCACTGGGGTATGATAACGAAGCGAAGATACAGAAAAGAGGGATGCTAGTGGCCCAAGGCCGGGGGTCAGGGGCAGTGGATGAGGAGGCTGGGCAAGAAGACTACGGCGGAGGGGAGACAGGTTCCCAAGTCCTGACTAAAGCCCAGAGGAAGCAGCGCAATTTGCTGCAGGGAGGGCAGGGGTTAGGGAAGGGGCAGGCTCCCCAAGCCATTGCCGCACCACTGCCCGTCGCCGAGGCCGCGCCAGCGCCAGCAGGACCATCGCACATGGGGCCGCCACCAGCTTGCGGGCACTGGGTGCCGCATTGTCAGTCCGCGCCCTGGCCCAGTTGCAACCACTGTGTCTCGTGTGGAGGGAGTCAGGCCCACACGGGACACATGGTCCCCTATTCGGGCCCATCAGCAAGTATGGGCCCCCCGAGCTACCCGGCGACTCAAAGCCAGCCTGTGGCTCAACCGCCTCCCTCCCAACAGGCCTCGCAAGCTAGTGTGGCCGGGGGAGGGGGCCAAGGGCAAGGCGGGCAGGGCAATGGGGGCCGGGGCCAAGGGGGTAGAGGAGGGGGCGGCCGCGGCCGAGGGGGAAATGGTGGAGGCCGTGGGGGAGGTTGGAATGGTCAGGGGGGCCAGAACCAAGGTGGCCAAGGCAGCCAGGGGGGGGCCAAGGGTACGGGAGGCCCAACTTCGACTGGCGGAACGCAACTTGTTGGCATTATGGCGAGGTGGGCCACACCGTACGATTCTGCCAACAGCGGCGGGACGACGACTTGGCAGGACTGATTTCCTCCTGTATGTACGGGGACATATACGATCGATGGGGGAAGCACATCGATCCCAAGACTCCGGGAGGAATCAGGCAGGAAGCCCTTAGGCGAGCGGCGACAGGGCCGCCAACAGCCCCGGCTATGTTTAGAATATGGCAAGAAAGGTAGGATCCGGGTGTGAGAATCGAGGAGATTGTGGACGAAAATGAGGAGGTGACTCAACAACTAAAGGCAGGAACTATAAAGGAGGAGCCTATAGTTGTTGAGTCCGACGATGAGGTGCTGGAGGTGGTGAGAGAGTCCGCCTCGACCATCCTGGAATGGATGGAGGGCCTGCTTGCAAAAGTCGGCAGGTACCAGGAGCAATTAAGGGTGATGTGTGAAGAGGCCCGGGAATGGGAAATGAACCTTCCTGAAATAATGTTCTATGGGTCCGGCCCAGAGTCATCATCAGGACCGCAAGGGTGTCCAAGCATGGCGACGGCCGGGGCGGGTCCTAGGTCAGGGATGACCTTCCCACCCCCTACGTCGCATGGAAGGGTGCCACAGGCCGCGCAGACTAGGGGCCAAAGTAAGGCTACCACCAGTCAAGGGCCCAGCCAGGCACCTGGTCGGGCGCCTCCTCGAAAGGAGCCTGAGCCTGAACGAAGGAAAGAAGTGGTAGAGGTTCAAGAAGAGGAAGATGAGGGTGATGACGAAGAGGATGAGAGGCTCCGCCAGAAAGAAGATCGGCGAGCTGAGCAGAGGGCTAAGAAGAGGGGGATTCAGGGAGGGGCGGAGCCAGCCTGCACGATGGCGTGCCAAAAAGGAAGAAGTACGCAGTCCGGCTGGAGGAAGGTTTTGACGTGGAGCGAATGGTGGACAAGCTCCTGGAGGGCCACAACGATTTAATGAATTTAAAGGACATCCTGGCGTCGACACCGAGGCTTCGTGGCGAACTGAAAGGGCGGCGCTCACGAAGGTTAGTACCCAACGTCCACCCGAGCTCAATTCTGCCCAGGGAGATAGAGTGGACAGAGGCGGGCACCAGGATGGACTGGAAATGTGTGGCATGCGGATTGGTGGATCTGAAGGTGAGAGACCAGCCGAGCATCGCAATGGTAGACACAAGCGCTGAGATGAATACCATCCGGAAGCGAGACGCGACCATGTTAGGGCTGGAGGTTGACCACTCGGACCATGGTGTGCTGCACGGCGCCAATTGTAAGGCCATTTTTTGCGGCACCGCGTCTAATGTGATGGTGGAGATCGGGAGGGTAAGGGCGTGAACGTGCTTCTTCGTCATGCCCAATGTCGACCACCCTATCCTCCTAGGGAGGTCGTTCCTCTGCCGAACGGAGACCTTGGTCTTCAACAGGCATGAGGGGACGATGATCCTGGCTCTATCCGATCCGGCCTGCGGGAATTACGAAATTATTAAGTGCGGGAACACAGGGCCCGGAAGTGCGAGGATCAGGCTCAAACTCGACTCCTTCACCTTCGAGGAGTCCGAGTACGCGCGACGAAGACTTCGGGAGGAACAAGAGGAGGGAGGAGCGGGCGAGGTATTGTCCCTGAGCCTTAACGATGTGAATAAGGCAATGGAGGTGGTGGCGGCGCATGATATGGCGGACCCTGAAGCTATAAAGGCATTGAGGGAGCAGGTCTTGGAAAGCCCTCAGGTGGGAGAAGTGGAACTGATCTATCGGCTTCCCGGAAGGAAAGGGGACCCTGCGATGGCCCAAGCCCGAACGACAAGTCGGCGGGCTCCCAAAGGCGGTACAAGACTATAGATAAGAAGTGTCGCCCGGTCCCCGTACTTGTTACAGAGGACGAAGAGGCCTATTATGAGCGGGAGCGGGGACTGATCAGACGAATGGAGCGGGAGCGGGAGCGGGGACTGTGCAGCCGGACTGCGTACTTCTTCCTTTTTGGCCTATTATGAGCGGGAGCGGGAGCAGGGCTCCCAAAGGCCTGGCTCCTCGCCCTCTCCTCGGCAAGCTGAGTAGTCAGGTGCTCCACCTCCAACTCTCTGACCCTGACCTCATTGCTGAGTAGATTATACCACTGGAAGGATGTAACTTCCGTCTCACATATCCTCCGATCCATGCGCTCAATCGCCTGCCTGGTCGCGGAGAACCCCAAGTCCCCCATCTCTCTCAGCTCACCCGCCCCCTCGTCCCCTTGTCCCCTCTCTCGTGACCTTTGGCGGGCTGCATCCCTCTGGCTCTCATACCTGGCCCACAACTCGTCGATCCTCTGCTCACTCGTCTTGGGCTCGGCCGGCGGTGTCGGCTCTATTCCTGCTGCCTCCATCTCAGCCTGCCTCGCGTGTATCTCATCCAGACGGACCCGCACTCGGGCGGACTTCTCTTTGCGGGTCTCCCTTGGGGTTCTTCTTACTCGCAGCCCCTGGCCTTCCGGAGTCGACGCCTCAGCCCCCATCCCCTCGTTCGTGCATGGCACTGCTGGCAGTAACTCCGCTGGAACAGGCTCCTCGATAACTGGGCTCTTGGTCACGTGCGTGGCCGATGGCAAGTCAAGGGGCGCCTCCACCCTCGCTCTCTCACACACTCCCTGACCCTCCGCCTCTGCCTCCTGCTCAGGCATAGCGGTGGCTTCAGGGAAAAACTCCGGAATCTCCTCGCTGCCTGGCTCAAGAATCCCCTCTGGCCATGAATGCTGTGCTGGCTCCGAAACTGGGGAGCATGGGGGGGTATCGTCTCCGACCGTGATCACCTCCTTGCCCTGAGGTCGTACCGGATCCGGCTGCTCGGCTTCCATCTCAGGATCCAGTGGCTTCTGTCGGTCTTGCCTGTTCGTCTCCGTCTCGGGGTCCAAAGGCTCCTCTAACGGCACATAGCGCGTCGGCTCAACTGAGCCCTCCCCCAATCGTAAGGCCTCCCATTGAGATACATCAAGATGAGTCGCTAAGCTTCGGAATGGCGTCTCCCTTGGTATGTCCAGCTCCTGCGCTGATGGCAACGGTGAGGACGATCTCAGCTCCTCGCTCGTAATCCGGCGAAACTCAACTGCCCGGAGGCCACAAGCCGGGAATGACTCCTCTGCCAGTGCGGGCCCTGCGGGCTCATCCTCCTGCTGTGCTGGGGCCCTCCTCCTCTCTCTAGCCAGCCCCGCCTCTCTCAGTGTCGGCTCCCTTGGCCTTTTGCTTCGCCGTCGCCTCTCGACCCTGGGCTTGTGCCTCTCGCGCTCTGGCCCTCCGAACGCCCTCCTGAGCTGGGCCTGACAGTCCTCCCAGTCGCGGGCCCTCTCCCGAATCTGTTTGGACACCGGCCTCTTTGCCCCCCTCGTCCAGATAAGTAGGGCCTGCACCCACTCCTCCCGCGCAATCCCCTGACTCAACATGTAGTGCTCATATGCGGGAATGAACTCCTCCACGTTCCCCTCCTCCAATCGAATGGGCATGCCATCGCGCCCCCTAGGGGAAGCTCTCAACCTCTGCATCCCGACCTCCACGTCCGGCCAAGTCAGGGCCTCCTCACATATCTGAGCGACAGGCTCCTCAAACCGCCCTAAGCCCCTCAAGTGGTGGATCCTCTCCGCCACTGACCACCCTCTTTGTGTCGCATGATCCCGATTTACGTCCAGGAAAAGCTCTATGTTATCGTCCTCGAACTCGGGCGTAGGCTCCCTCCTAGGCGGCTCATGGTGCTTGTCCCCTCCTGCTACCCTCTCGGGCCCCTGCCGTGGCCGTGTGTCCCTCCCGCCCCTCTGCATGACTGCCTTCGAAAAGTCACACCTGCACAACAGGCGAGAGACAGCAAACAGGCACACAGCAGGGTCAGCAACCGAGCCCATTGGCCTAGGGAAATCCCACATACACTCCACACCCATCCATCCCAATCACCCACCCTTCTAATCCCCTGACTTGGGTAGTACCTAGGCAAGACTCTTTTCCTAACAAGGTCTCATGGTCCCTTACCTATTCCCTGGCCACAAACTTCTTCAGCCTTGTCCCTGATACCCAATCCTTCCACCCTGCCCCATCCAGCTCTTCAATTTGGTAGGCCCCAAACTCGCCACACTGCACGATCCTATAGGGTCCCAGCCACCACTTATCTAGCTTCCTGGACCATTGTTTTTCCAGCGAGGAGTCATACAGCAGTACCACGTCTCCAACCTTCAACGGGTCCTTCCTTATTCGGGCCATCTGGTCCCATCTCATCTTGTCCTCCATACGACTTCTCTCTACCTGACCAGCGGCTTCTCGTAACCTTTCCTCAGCGGCTCCCACCTGCCGCGCCCGTATATCGAGCAGTTCTTCGAAAGATAGATTCACTTCCAGGTCCTGGCGCCTCCACGTCTTCATGAAACTTTCTATGGGAAAGGTAGCGTGCCTTCCGTACCATAGTGTGGCTGGCGCATACTTGGTGGTCCTTTTCACTGTAACATTTTCCACGAAGAAAGTTGCTCTCAGGAACTTTGGCCATTGGTTGGGCTTCCCCTCAGTCCACTTGGCCAGGAGATTTGTGATGGTACTATGCCCCCTCTCCACAGGTGCGTTTGCCTGGGGGTGCGCGGCAGTAGTATAGTTTGCTACCACGCCGAACCCCGCAAGCAAGGTCTGCACCTCGCTACAAGTGAACTCCGACCCCCGGTCCATCACAAACTCTCCGACAAACAGATAGCGCAGGTAGTATTCTTCGATGCACTTTGCTAAAACTGGGCCAGTTTTTGTACGAATAGCCCGACCGTCCACGAACCCGGTAAGGTTGTCCCGTGCGTCAAAGATATAGTTACTTCCATCCTCCCCGAGTGGCATAAACAACAGGTCCAGGTGTACGACTGCGCCCACTTCCCTTTCCAGCCTGGGGTGCAAAGGCTCCCTAGGCCTTTGCGCTGACCTCTGCTGGCAAGGTACACAGGACTGGCAGTACTTGATGACCATAGTCAGCATTCCGTCCCAATGGTATAGCTCGCTTATCTTTGCGCATGTGGCACTAACCCCTCTGTGCCCCCCTACCATACCATCGTGTAGGGCTGCTATGACATCGATCTGCCGGTTCCTCCCACATACGATCCTCTTGGGGTTCCCAACCTATCGCTTTATAAATAAATGGCCATCTCTTACTACGTAGAGATGCCTCATCTTCTGGGCTTTGGCACTTGCATCCCTATCCCTTATCTCGCATGACAGGAGTAACCCCAGTTCCCGATAGATCCTGGCATACTCCTCAGCGCGGAAGGCCTCCCTGATCTCTCCCTCTTCGAACTCGTCGTCCTGGCTTTCAGGAATGAGAAGTTCGCTCTCCTCAGGGCCAGTTGAACTCCTCTGACTAAAGGTCCCCTGCAGGAGCGTATTAGTGAGCAAATACATCCCTCCCACTAATTGCTCATGCTCCTCTACCTGGTTCGGGCATGCCTCTATCGTCCTTACCTCCTCCGCCAGACTATGTGTACCTGCCAATGCCAGCTTCATCATCCAGCCAACATCCCTACTCCCCCACGGATCTTCCTCCTGAAAGGGCTTGAGGACCAGCTCCTCCTTTCGTTCGTAACCCCTTGGTGCTAGCCATATTGGATGCGTGACGCAGCTAGGCACCCTCAGCGACCATTCATTTATGTGGAGGCGGACATCCTCCTCTTGGTCCAAAAACCCGTCGACTGGTGGGGTGTCCTCAATTGCCTCCTGGCTCGTCCCATCCCAGTTGATACGGCTCAGCCCATCCGCCCTGTTCTTGTCCCCTGGAATCCTCTCCAGCTCAAAGTTAAACATCCAAATGTAAGTCAACCACCTTACGATGGTTGGGTCAGATGGAGTATAACTTTTCAGGGAACATGCCAGGGCAGTAGGGTCCACCCTCAAAATGAGCCTCCTGCCAAAAATATAGTTCCGGAAGGTCCTCAGGCAATGGAGTACTGCCAGCGTCTCCTTCTTGAACTGCGAATAGTTCCTCTCAGTCGTATTGAGAGTGCGACTTTCGAACCTTAGCATCCTCTCCTTCCCATCCGCATCTGCCTGAATCAGGACCCCTCCTAAGGCCGTCGGCCCAGCGTCCGTCTCGACCACGAATGGCTTTTCCTCCGTGGCCTCATAACTTGGTGCCCCCAGCACCAAGCCTCCCTCCTTGAACTCTCCCTTCATCCCTTCCACAACCTTTTCCTGGTCTTCGCCCCAGACCCATTCCTGATCCTGACGCACCAACTTTCTCAAATGCTCCGTCTTGGTGGCGAAGTCCTTCACAAAATTCCTCCAAAAGCCACAGGTCCCAAGGAAACTCCTCACGTTCGTTATCGACTGGAAGGGGACTGACCATTCTAGGATCTTGTCCGACTTCTTCACATCTGGCCTCCGCCCCTTCTTGTTACAGACAAAGCCCAGAATCGTGGCCTCCCTCATACAATGCTTTGACTTGGGGTCGCTCGACGTCATGTTGTGCTCTTCTAGCAGACCCAGAACCTGATCGATATCCTGGATATGCCTCCAGACGAACCGCCTCACTCATGGCATCACTTCATCTTCCTCCTTCTCCTTTGGACCCTTGACCGCCTCCTCAGAAATCCCATGCACTTTCGTCGCCTTTTTCTTAAACTCGTGCACGAACGCCCCAATGGTAGAAAAGTCTTCCTTGTTCATGGCCTCCAAGTCGGCCATGGTCAACAGGCCATCCCCCAGCCTGTACTTCCTTCGCATTAGGTCCCCAAACTTTGTCCAACTGCCACCGGCGGCGTCCACGACCTTACTTACTTCCCGATGGTGACTATGCAGGACGTACCTCAGGACCCGCTGGAGCTTGACCTCATCTGACAGCCCCACCAACGCCTGCTCTGTCAGATCCAACCAGTCAGATACCTGATCCCCCTTGAAGTGAAATGTCTCAACCTTTGGGATATTGCTTGGCGCCCTCTCGCGCTTGTCTAAGGCATCGATGAGATCGTCGATCGTCACGAACCTTCTCCCACCGTCCGCCATCTCCTCTGGCATTTTTTTGACCAATCGCCTCCGGCTTCAAACTTCCTATTGTAAGAAACAATAGGACGAAAGACCCCACTCAGCGACTCGATCCTCCACGGCCCTATCGGGTTGACTTCTTAAACATCCGACGCTCTAGACCTGACAGATACCTCTTTTCTCATTTTCCCTTAGCCATAAGATCTCCTCACACACTCGCCTTTATCCAAGCCGTCAGTCAAGCCGCCAATCAATCGATCATTTAACCCACAGTCATATAGATCACCATACAGTTCATCTCATAGTCTTCCCCTTACTCACCTATATGCCTAGTTTTTCCCTCACTCCCATACCCGGATGTCGTTCCACCAGGGACAACGGTAGGCTTCCGTTATCCCCGGCAATGGCGCCACCTGTCGAGCGCATCGGTCCGGCACCGCATGCGACGGCACGGGACCCTCTCGGCCGCGTCACGCAGGAGTTGGGTCAGCTTCGTCATGAACACGTAAATGGAGCTTCCTTAGGCCGCTCCGACCGAGTGCGCCAGCCATACCTCTCGCGAGCCCCTATGACAGGATAAGGCCTACGCGAGGCACGACTTACCTCCACCTCATGGGAGCTGTCACCTCCCATCGGTGGGCGTATCCCCGTCGAGCTACCAGTCCATAATACGAAAGCTAATCAGTTGCAATCGCACAGGTGGAYCAGCTGAGGGYGTTTCTYGTTCGCTGTAGCATAGGGGGTACGCGCGGCAATACGCCTATYGGTCCCGCACGCGAGCCGACATCTTGGGGGGCTGAAGTCCCAAGCGCGGCTCGACGTCGGTCGACTAGGACGCATCCCACTCACCGCACGCACACCACTATGCGAACACAAAAATAAAACACTCACACACGCACATGCAACACGATACAACACAAACAACGCGACAACGCTCCTAGCCCCTCGGTAGCCAACCCATAACTTTTCAATGTGGAACCCGAATGGGCATCGCGCGCGAGCCTTGATATAAAACCGCGCGGACGCAGGGCTAACTCATATCGACTCGCAGTGCAAATGTACGCAAGCAGTCGCAATGATGGTGTACTATGTGGTACCCACACTCGCGCGGCCCTCGTTAATCTCGAGGGTCGCGTTCGACAYTYAGGTGTCGGCTGACACTCGCCTTGAGGGTTGATCTCTCAACGCTGGACAACCGCCAYGCGCKGTTGAAGACCACACMCCCTCTTCTGCACCCTTGTGCAAAGCGGGTGGTACACATGTCCAAAGCCTGTGGTGGTAATCGTCTCTCGCGGCCCTAGGGGTGAGTCCTCCCCGGGCCTGGGAGAAAGTCAAGGGGTTTGACTTTGACGGCTGCCACGGACTACAACGTCCAACCATAAAATTCTCTTAAGAAGCAAGCGAGACACGCACGAACCCAAAAAGGGGGAGCACGTGGCGAGCCTCTACATAAATGCAGGAATTGACCTAGCTCCTATCGCTCTAGCACGTGGCGAGCCTCTAAAGCAACTACCTGTCAACCTGAAACCCAAACCAAGTAGTAATCTCACTCAGCCACATGCAGGCCAAACCACAAAGGTAAGTACCCCAAGTTTCTTTAGCAAACAATAGTTCATGGCTTCTCAGTGAGTTATCCCCTCATACCCCACTTACATAAGGCATATGTCAGGGCACCTGAACTTACAGAGCATGCCCAACTTAGCGAGGCCCAAAGTCAGAATACCTAAACTTATAGAGCGTTCTAACTTGGCCAGGTATACACAAACAGAGGGCACAACTACTTGTCTCTTCTTTGGGCGTATGACTAGACGACTCTAGTCGCCCTGAACTGTTTAAATAGCCAATTTATATATACTTCTCTGGACTTAGTCTTCAAAAGGGACATAAGGCTGAGCCGCTCAACTTAGAACATTGCTCAGCCCGCCGAGGTTTACCTTCAGTTATATCTCTTTGCAGTAACCCGCACTCTGCATAGGCCGGGCTGTGTGACCACGCACTGCTCGGCCCAGCCCAGCGTCTGGCCAGTGAGACCCCGCGCTGGACTAGGGAAATTCAAAGGTCAAAGTCAACTGTCGGGTCGCAGGTACCGTACCCAAGTCCACGAATAGATACACACAGGTGTTGTATGCAGGTACCACGCCAAGACATCGGACCAAGGGAGAAACAGTTGCAGACCGATCCAGGCCGTCGCCGCATCAAGATCTTGACGGCACAGGACCACTGCAGCGGGGCATTGACCCCGAGTCAACACTACTTGAAGTTGACTCTTGGCTTTGACATTATTCATTCTGTCGCGAGTGAAGGCTGACTCTACTTTGACGCGACGCTGGCTTGTGAGGTGCTGGCTAATTGCTAGCTGTAAGCTGGCGTTTCTCAGCGGCGACACGTTGCTTGCTTGCTGACATGGGGGCTGGCTTGCTCTTGTCTACAAGGTGCTGACGTGGCAGCGCCACGTGTCGTTGCTGACGTGGCTGCTGCCACGTAGGGTGTTGGTGACGTGACTGTACCACGTGTTCATTCGCTCTTCAGGCTATCGTCGTCCGGAAGGAGGTCGGGGACTGTGGGGATGAGATGACACGTACCTGTGTGAAGCGACATTGCTGCTCCGTTGATGAAGAGAATGCTGATGTGCCACGTGGCACTTTGAGGAACTCAGATCTGTATCTGGATTGACGCTGCTGGAGAGGGGGCGACTCTGATTGGCCCGAAGGAGAAGTGGGCAACTTCTCTTCTAAGTCTTTTCTCCCCCTCTCTCTCTCTCTTCTATGTTCGTATATACTCGGATAGTGGAACAGATCTGTTCGATATTATTCATCAACAAGACTGGATTACTCGAGTTGCTTTGTCATTGAGCCATTGGACTATTGCTGCACGAGCGCTGATGCTCGTGCGTTGCTGCGAACAATATTTGGATGTTCAATGAGTGTTATCTCGCTTGGGTTCATTGCATCTTAGTTATACCCTCTTCAGTTGTGATAAGCTATAGTCAGGCTACCTAAACTTATAGAGCGGCCTGACTAGCCTGTTCTTAATAACATAGTAATACAGTATAGTAAAGTTATATCCATTGGGTTTCAATCATATGCGAGGCATTGGGTCAGACTACCTAAACTTATAGAGCGGTCTGATCCTCTGCCAGGTTCGTTCCTCTCTGATCCAATCTGTGCGAGGCAGTGGGACAGGCTACCTAAACTTATAGAGCGGCCTGTCCCCTACCAGAATTATTCCCTCAGAACAAACAGGAGAAGGGTTGAACCACCTAAACTTATAGAGCGGTTCAGACCTCCTTGTTCAGAACCAAGGAAACTGAGAAAACCCCAAATAAAACGAGGCAACCCAAGGTACCTAAACTTATAGAGCGCCTTGGGTCCCTGAAAGTCACTCACAGTCAAACCCTCACAAGTCAGAGCAGCCAGGACACCTAAACTTTGGAGGGTCAGGCGTCCTGACCGTCCATGCAATTCACAGCACCGGGTCTCCCCAAACTTATAGGGACCTCC